GATCCTGGAACACAAAATATTGTGTTTATAGTTATTAACAATATCTGATAATCACTTTATTCTTACCATGTGTCAAGCGATGGTCCCCAATATGCCCCTTACAAGTCACTCTGTCCTGTTAATCCCGCTAGGACTGACCCTAGTGGGTCATTGCAAGCTTCTATTATTATTGGTTAACAATTCTAATTTCCAAATACCCAGGCATTAAATCAGTAAATTGCTCAGAAAGTGTTGTAACAAGTTAGACATGTCGCCTGTATGATACAGAGATAGATCACAATTAATTTCTTAAAAAGTTCAGATTTGTTGTAATATTTATTACCTGGGGCCCGGTCAGCAATGGGGTGCTTTAATAGCGCGACCAAGCCCCATTGTTGACATCAGAGTGCCCGCTGGGAGGGAGCCGTCACTTCCTCCCAGCATACACAGAGCAGAGCTGCGCAGGAGGAGAATGCAAGGAGAGGAGGGAGTCAGAGTGGGAGCTCTGACTCCCACCAGCATTAGGCAGCCACTAGACCCCAGGGATGTCACCCACCTGCACCTAAAAGTAGGAAACCGGAGGGTGACTAAAAATTTTTTAACAGTTTGTGTGTGTGAATGTATGTATGTGTGTGTGTGTGTGTGTGTCTGCATGTGTGTCTGTGTGTATGTGTGTGTCTGTATCTGTATATCTGTGTGTCTGCATGTGTGTGTCTGTATCTGTGTGTCTGTATGTCTGTGTTTGTGAATGTCTGTATCTGTATATCTGTGTGTGTGTCTGCATGTGTGTGTGTGTGAATGTCTGTATCTGTATATCTGTGTGTCTGCATGTGTGTGTCTGTATCTGTGTGTCTTTATGTGTGTGTTTGTGAATGTCTGTATCTGTTTATCTGTGTGTGTGTCTGCATGTGTGTGTGTGTGTGAATGTCTGTATCTGTATATCTGTGTCTGTATGTGTGAATTTCTGTATCTGTATATCAGTGTGTCTGTATGTGTGTGTGCGTTTGTGAATGTCTGTATATGTGTGTCTGCATGTGTGTGTATCTGTATGTATATCTCTTTGTATGTGTATATCTTTGCATGTGTGTCCGTGTAAAGCTTACACTTTACTGGCCATTGCAGTGATACTAACATCTTCCAGTTATTTAAATATAAATAAGGATGTGGGATAGTGCGCAGGTAATGTTTGTTGTTTTTAAGTTACCACTTTGTAATTATATGATCAGTTAATTAGACTGAATCTCGTTAACGCTATCTTATCAATGGACACCAGAATAATCACTGTAACAGATCCACTGTTCCTAAATTACTATTTTTCAATGACTGGATCGGTATACGAACCTCACCGAACAGATTGCCCCATTTGGTTCGTATACCGAATAAAGTACCGACCACCCAGAACAGTTGTGTGCCACTTGACCTCACTACCACCTTCACAAATCGTAATCACTTCAACATTGTAAGCTGTCGGCTGGGTTGCCGGCGTTCATATGTATGAAGACGAGGCGGCGGCCACCTTGGTTTTTGAACGCACCCAGCGGTGTTTGGTCATCGAGTGTATGGAACTATTATCGGGCACTCGGCGGCATGAACACCGCTGGAACTTCCACATCCACCTGCGTTCGTTTCCATTCGTCTAAGATGAGCGGCGTTCAGTGGGAGCAAACTCCCGAACAAGATACATGGTGTAAGCGTATGCACGAACAGTTTATTTGCATATATGGTTATATTTCATACTCCCGAAAGAGACCGACCGCACAGGCTGAATTCATGTAACTCTTTTGGGCAGGTGCCTTGTGTGTGGTCGCTCTAAACTATACCTCAGTGGCGATTTGGCTACGTTCGTGGGATCTGAGCGCTTTTCGAATATGTTGGGCGTTCAGATCCAGGCTGTCTGGGGATATAGTACTTGAGGGGGTACCACACTGTTAAAGGGGTGTTTTGAGGGGTTAATACATATATATGTCCTATACATGTCCTGGACCTGAGAGTTAATATAATTATGTTGTGTACTTTGTGTCTGTTGCCTCTAAGGTCCAGTGGGGAATGCCCCTGGAATATGTTATTGTAGACCCATTGCATGGGGATTAACATAAAAGGCCGTGTGTGGTCCCATTAAAACCAGTTCCTGCTTACCCTCAACACAGAGCCTCGTCTCGTGATTGAGGGAACTGCTATACCTGCTTTGATTACCGCAAAGATCAATTGAACCGCACTAGATGGGAAATACTTCAGCATTGCTCAGACTAAGGAAAAGGACATCTCTAGGGACGGAAACCCCTCTTTACTCAGGGTGGCCACCACAATCACACATTATAACCATGATAACAGACATGGTGACATACCTAATGTGATAGGTGTCCTTTACTTGTCCAAAGCAACTTCCAGGAGCCAAAGCAATACCAGTCTCCTCCAGCAGGTGGTGACAGAACATGTTGTCTGGTTCCAGGCCTTGAGTCTGACAATGAAGACACAGCATTGGTAAATGGTCTAATAAGTGGGATGTGTTAACATATTCCCTGTAACAATCTCTCCATCAGACAGTCTTTATTGTATCATTTGTATAAATACTTCCATTCATTTAGGATTTAATCAGACTGTTAGCTGGTGTCACCTTGAAAATACAAATATCTAAACAGGTGTAATCGCTTGATCTCCATGGTAACGTGTTTTCTGTCCCATGACAACCTTTGAAAAGTTGCTAAAATAAGGTGAAAATTCCCTTGAGTTTCCATAATGGGATCGTGTGATCTGTGGGCTATCAGAGATATAGAAAGTCACATTGAAGACTTAAAATCACAGACACATCTGACAGTCGGAGATTATTTTCGATATATTCAGTTTAGACATTTTGCTCAGACTCCGGCTATTAGGAGCGCAGGGCAGTCTACACCTTCATCTTTCGAAAAACTGTGTATTTCAGGGAGATGTAAGAAAGGTCTAATTTCAACTCTATACTCATATCTAAGTCAGGAACCATCAGTGTGGGGCACACTTAGATATGTGTCACATTGGGAATCAGATTTAGGTGAAGCCCCAGAGATGGGAGTGTGGGCAGATATCTGGAGAACAGCGTCTAAAATATCAATTTGCGTGTTCTCACACGAGCAAATGTTTACGATTTTGTTTAGGTGGCATGTTACTCCTGTTTTTATGTATAGAATTGGTAGAAAAACATCAGATCTTTTCTGGCGATTATGTGGACTCAGGGGCACCTACCTACATATATGGTGGGAGTGTCCTAAAATTACTGACTTTTGGAAACTAACTTTGTTTTTCAAAGATCAACTGAATTCTCGCCTTGGATATTCCTAATCTCTAGACCTATAGAGGGGATGTCAAAGCATTCACAGAAACTACTACATTCCATAACATTAGCAGCCGTAGAGTTATTGCAGCTTGATGGTTAAAAACTGATATTCCCCCAATAAGTAAAGTTATTTTAAAAATTGAAGATAATTTACTCAGGATTAACTAACTTCAAAAATAATTTATTAAAATTTGGGATCCATAGTGAAAGTTTATTACTAATAAAAATAGATAAGAAAACCGCGCTGTATCTGTGACAAACTCCTCTTTTTACAGGAGTTTGCCACGAGCTCCTGGAGGAGCCTGCTGGCCAGCCTTCTGCCCACAGACTATGGACCCTGTGGAAAATAATGTAAAAGTCTCTGTTCGTGCCTTTTTGTAGTTATATGGCCACACTTCAACCTTTCGAAGCGGCACTTCGAATTACCGAACAACCGCAACAACCAGAGACTACCCTGGAGCTTGTTAACACCTATTAACAACTTGGAACGTTTCTCAACGCAGTGTTCTAATTGTTCGTCTGGGTGGGCGCAATTCCTATAGACAACCACCAGGTGGTGGCCATCTTGTTCACATGAACGCAGGCAGCAGTGTTTGGGCATGAATCTCCTGGAACTAAAATCGGATACAGAAACTCCGGAACACTGCTAGACTTCCATCATCGCCTACGTTTGTTTCTATTTAGCTTAGAAGGGCACTGTTTGGTGAGTTCATTCATCTGGATGAAGGGAACAAGCTCCAGGGTAAGACTATTGACTCTGTTCGGTAGTTTGTTCGTTTTCAAACTGCCTAACTAGACCTACCGCAAGCCCTGATTCTCTGGAACTGTTTTGGACATGGGACCATGCCTGTGGTTGGTCAAATAAATGACTTCCATAGAATTTCTGAACGCCTGAACTGATCTGGGTGATTTTGGGATATGTTGATCACCCAGATCAGGGCTATCAGGGGACATGTGAGGAGATATCATGTGTTTTGGTGTACTTTTGGGACTTTTTAGAAATGTGTTTTTCCTGCCAGTTGATAATTGGGTTAGTGCAGTATCTGATCCAATTATCTCCCAGGCAGAGGGGAGGGACTGTGTGCCATGTGTGGGAGTGCCTTACATTGTAAATGTGTTATTATTGGTTTGCAAGATTGTGTCCCTGTCCCCAACAAGGTCCATGTGCGCGTACCCCTTGCATACAGCGCTACGGAATTATTTATTTATTTATAAAAATATTTTACCAGGAAAGATACATTGAGATTTCTCTCGTTTTCAAGTATGTCCTGGGTCCACAAATCATTGCATTGTTACATTAGGGTACAATAAGATACAAAAACAATATTAATACACAATAAATACAAAATTTAACATAGAACAGGTAGGAAATATATAATCAGCCATGACACGTGCATTCTGTTTGAGATATGTAGAGAGGGATCTCTTAAAGGACTTTAGGCTTAAGGAAGATTTTAAAATAATAAAATAATAATAATAATAATAATAATGGGGATTTACAAATAAGGCCAAGTGTGGCATCATTAAAATCTATTCCAGCTTACACTCCAAAACTGTGTATTGTCCTGTTATTGGAGGGCAAAGGACTAGAGCTCCCAGGACTGAGTGTCGTCCAGTGCCTGGGGGTGTCTAGAGCTAATTCCCCATTCGGCTCCAGGATAGAGCGGGTCCAGGACCCCCAGTCAAGCCACGGCGACTGGGGGCAAGAGTGCTGAGGTTTGTCCCCTGTTTTAGCTAGGAAGCGGTCCTTGGCGGAGGTACCCAGCTGGGGTACAGGGAACTCTGTCACAGTATATTTAAGGGGAATTACACAAACAGGTGTGAATATTTTGTCTCTTCTCTCTCTCTGAGATTAAGTATTTTTAGTCTATACTTGAAAAAATTTGGGGGAAATCCATTTTGTAAAATGTTATAAAGCAATTTATATGTACTGCATAATTAATGCATTTTGCTTATGCCTATAATATATAATATATATTTTTTTGGCTTCCTCACATAAATAGAGAATAAAAAAAAAAAGAAAGTAACATTGGTTACCTGGGCCAGTTTCACGGCTCTCTCTGGGATGTGGATCCTGGGAAAGGCGTACATTGCGCCCTGGATCGGATTACAGTGGATCCCGGGTGCCTGGTTTAAAATCTCCTCAGTTAGCTTAGCATTCTCTGCTAGCGCACTGAGCACGGCCTTTTTCTCCTGGGAAAATACAATTAAACAGGACAATATGATATGAGACAGAATCGTATCTATCATTCTATTTGTGAGGCCATGATCCCAATGTATCGTTCCAGATAAAACATTTTATTCATACAGAATTCATCAAGGAGGTAATGGATAATGTTATAAACTAAAAGAGCCTTTTCATTATATTTCACATCAATCTGTGGAATCCCTTCGGGCTACTTAATCTGTTTACACCATAGCGCCCCCTATGGACTTATTCAAACTCACCCCCTACACTCAGTGCCAGGCTGATATTATAACAGACACCACTCGCAATTCTTCAGCTTACCTGGGGGTCAGTTTACAAAGAGGGAAGGCATTGTCCATCTTGATCATTTTGTGAGTCATGGTTTTTACTATAAACAGAGAAAAGGGGGCATCCATGGCCAATCCATCAGCCCATGGGTAAAGGAAAGGGTTCGTCCACGTATCCATCAGCTTGAATAGTTTATCAATACAGTAGTATTGCTCCCTTATTATGTCCGGTCATGATTCTCACCTCCATGAAGGTTTTATAAGATGGATCTGCTGGCTGTGGGGGGTCCATCATTATATCCATGGCCAGCATCCCAATAACATTGGGTACAGCGAAGGACTTCAATGTGAATAGTTTCTGAAACACAGCTGGGTCAATATTCACAAACTCAATGTACCCACAGCGCAGTCCACACCTGCAGGGGAGAGTTAGGTAGTTTTGGTCAAAACGTTGTGTTGTGGAATGAATGTTTATACAATGTCACTTAGCACAATATAAAGAATCGGCTGAGATAAGAAAGCTCGAGTGATCTGTACTCACTCTCCACTGACCCCCTTGGAGACAGAATTGACTGAAACGAGCTGGATCTGCTGGGAGTATCGGGGTCCAATTTCAAACAGAACCTTCTTGAAGGAATGGAAAGTGGCACCCAGACCAAAAATATTCTCTTGACAGACCTGTGCAATGGACGCAAGAAAAGAAGAAGAACGCAATGAACGAGAAAAGGAAGGAAGAATGGAAAATATATAATGTACGCCTCGTTCCCCTTTTTCCTTCCCACTTGGTAACTGTTTCCCACGTTGCCAATTACATCAGTGATTCCGCCCCCAGTGTTGCTCCGGTCGAGTTAAAGAGTGCCATTAAATTCCATCTATACAGTGTACAAGCTGATTTGCTAGTAAATGTATATATTGAGAGAAAAGACTATTTAAAGATATATCTATCTCCCACCTGTCAGACAATTATTCATCATGGACTCTATGCAGAAAATTTGACTGACAAGGGAGAGCAGAAAAGGCCAACCACGGTACTTCTACTCTACACACTTGGCAACCACAGCGCATGCACTACCTGCCTGGAGGCTGTCCCTTTGTTCAGAGGCTGGCATGCTGGCAATGAAGCCGGTGTGTCGGCATTGCATAGGAGTTGTTCCCTGTTTGGATGAAGATCCCCCAATCAGGACAAAATAAAGAAAAGACCAGGGGGAGCAGAGAAGGTGTTGCAGAAGTGTAGACACATAGCTCTGTGAGGGCATAACAGTGCTGGACTGGAGACACATAGCTCTGTGAGGGCATAGTAGCCCTGGACTGGAGACACATAGCTCTGTGAGGGCATAGCAGAGCTGGACTGGAGACACATAGCTCTATGAGGGCATAGCAGGATTGGAGACACATAGCTCTGTGAGGGCATAGCAGGACTGGAGACACATAGCTCTGTGAGAGCATAGCAGGACTGGACTGGAGACACATAGCTCTGTGAGGGCATATCAGGACTGGACTGGAGAAACATAGCTCTGTGAGGGCATTTCAGGACTGGAGACACATAGCTCTGTGAGGGCATAGCAGGACTGAACTGGAGACACATAGCTCTGTGAGGGCATAGCAGCGCTGGACTGGAGACACATAGCTCTGTGAGGGAATAGCAGGACTGGAGACACATAGCTCTGTGAGGGCATAGTAGGACTGGACTGGAGACACATAGCTCTGTGAGGGCATAGCAGGACTGGAGACACATAGCTCTGAGAGGCATAGCAGGACTGGAGACACATAGCTCTGTGAGGGCATAGCAGGACTGAACTGGAGACACATAGCTCTGTGAGGGCATAGCAGCGCTGGACTGGAGACACATAGCTCTGTGAGGGCATAGCAGGACTGGAGACACATAGCTCTGTGAGGGCATAGCAGGACTGGACTGGGGACACATAGCTCTGTGAGGGCATAGCAGCGCTGGACTGGAGACACACAGCTCTGTGAGGGCATAGCAGGACTGGAATGGAGACACATAGCTCTGTGAGGGCATAGCAGGACTGGACTGGAGAAACAAAGCTCTGTGAGGGCATAGCAGGACTGGATTGGAGACACATAGCTCTGTGAGGGCATAGCAGGACTGGAGACATTGCTCTGTGAGGGCATAGCAGGACTGGACTGGAGACACATAGCTCTGTGAGGGCATAGCAGGACTGAACTGGAGACACATAGCTCTGTGAGGGCATAGCAGCGCTGGACTGGAGACACTTAGCTCTGTGAGGGAATAGCAGGACTGGAGACACATAGCTCTGTGAGGGCATAGCAGGACTGGACTGGGGACACATAGCTCTGTGAGGGCATAGCAGCGCTGGACTGGAGACACACAGCTCTGTGAGGGCATAGCAGGACTGGACTGGAGACACATAGCTCTGTGAGGGTATAGCAGCGCTGGACTGGAGACACATAGCTCTGTGAGGGAATAGCAGGACTGGAGACACATAGCTCTGTGAGGGCATAGCAGGACTGGACTGGGGACACATAGCTCTGTGAGGGCATAGCAGGACTGGATTGGAGACACATAGCTCTGTGAGGGCATAGCAGGACTGGAGACATTGCTCTGTCAGGGCATAGCAGGACTGGACTGGAGACACATAGCTCTGTGAGGGCATAGCAGGACTGAACTGGAGACACATAGCTCTGTGAGGGTATAGCAGCGCTGGACTGGAGACACATAGCTCTGTGAGGGAATAGCAGGACTGGAGACACATAGCTCTGTGAGGGCATAGCAGGACTGGACTGGGGACACATAGCTCTGTGAGGGCATAGCAGCGCTGGACTGGAGACACATAGCTCTGTGAGGGCATAGCAGGACTGGACTGGAGACACATAGCTCTGGGAGGGCATAGCAGGATTGGACTGGAGACACATAGCTCTGTGAGGGCATAGCAGGACTGGACTGGAAACACATAGCTCTGTGAGGGCATAGCAGGACTGGAGACACATAACTCTGTGAGGGCATAGCAGGACTGGACTGGGGACACATAGCTCTGTGAGGGCATAGCAGCGCTGGACTGGAGACACACAGCTCTGTGAGGGCATAGCAGGACTGGACTGGAGACACATAGCTCTGTGAGGGTATAGCAGCGCTGGACTGGAGACACATAGCTCTGTGAGGGAATAGCAGGACTGGAGACACATAGCTCTGTGAGGGCATAGCAGGACTGGACTGGGGACACATAGCTCTGTGAGGGCATAGCAGGACTGGATTGGAGACACATAGCTCTGTGAGGGCATAGCAGGACTGGAGACATTGCTCTGTCAGGGCATAGCAGGACTGGACTGGAGACACATAGCTCTGTGAGGGCATAGCAGGACTGAACTGGAGACACATAGCTCTGTGAGGGTATAGCAGCGCTGGACTGGAGACACATAGCTCTGTGAGGGAATAGCAGGACTGGAGACACATAGCTCTGTGAGGGCATAGCAGGACTGGACTGGGGACACATAGCTCTGTGAGGGCATAGCAGCGCTGGACTGGAGACACATAGCTCTGTGAGGGCATAGCAGGACTGGACTGGAGACACATAGCTCTGAGAGGGCATAGCAGGATTGGACTGGAGACACATAGCTCTGTGAGGGCATAGCAGGACTGGACTGGAAACACATAGCTCTGTGAGGGCATAGCAGGACTGGAGACACATAACTCTGTGAGGGCATAGCAGGACTGGAGACATATAACTCTGTGAGGGCATAGCAGGACTTGACTGGTGACACATAGCTCTGTGAGGGCATAGCAGGACTGGACTGCAGACACATAGCTCTGTGAGGGCATAGCAGGACTGGACTGGAGACACATAGCTCTGTGAGAGCATAGCAGGACTGGAGACATAACTCTGTGAGGGCATAGCAGGACTGGAGACACATAGCTCTGTGAGGGCATAGCAGGACTGGAGACACATAGCTCTGTGAGGGCATAGCAGGACTGGACTGGAGACACATAGCTCTGGAGGGCATAGCAGGACTGGATTGGAGACACATAGCTCTGTGAAGGCATAGCAGGACTGGACTGGAGACACAGCTCTGTGAGGGCATAGCAGGACTGGACTGGAGACACAGTTCTGTGAAGGCATAGAAGGACTGGACTGGAGACACATAGCTCTGTGAGGGCATAGCAGGACTGGACTGGAGAAACAAAGCTCTGTGAGGGCATAGCAGGACTGGACTGGAGACACATAGCTCTGTGAGGGCATAGCAGGACTGGAGACATTGCTCTGTGAGGGCATAGCAGGACTGGACTGGAGACACATAGCTCTGTGAGGGCATAGCAGGACTGAACTGGAGACACATAGCTCTGTGAGGGCATAGCAGCGCTGGACTGGAGACACATAGCTCTGTGAGGGAATAGCAGGACTGGAGACACATAGCTCTGTGAGGGCATAGCAGGACTGGACTGGGGACACATAGCTCTGTGAGGGCATAGCAGCGCTGGACTGGAGACACACAGCTCTGTGAGGGCATAGCAGGACTGGACTGGAGACACATAGCTCTGTGAGGGTATAGCAGCGCTGGACTGGAGACACATAGCTCTGTGAGGGAATAGCAGGACTGGAGACACATAGCTCTGTGAGGGCATAGCAGGACTGGACTGGGGACACATAGCTCTGTGAGGGCATAGCAGGACTGGATTGGAGACACATAGCTCTGTGAGGGCATAGCAGGACTGGAGACATTGCTCTGTCAGGGCATAGCAGGACTGGACTGGAGACACATAGCTCTGTGAGGGCATAGCAGGACTGAACTGGAGACACATAGCTCTGTGAGGGTATAGCAGCGCTGGACTGGAGACACATAGCTCTGTGAGGGAATAGCAGGACTGGAGACACATAGCTCTGTGAGGGCATAGCAGGACTGGACTGGGGACACATAGCTCTGTGAGGGCATAGCAGCGCTGGACTGGAGACACACAGCTCTGTGAGGGCATAGCAGGACTGGAATGGAGACACATAGCTCTATGAGGGCATAGCAGGACTGGACTGAAGAAACAAAGCTCTGTGAGGGCATAGCAGGACTGGATTGGAGACACATAGCTCTGCGAGGGCATAGCAGGACTGGAGACATTGCTCTGTAAGGGCATAGCAGGACTGGACTGGAGACACATAGCTCTGTGAGGGCATAGCAGGACTGAACTGGAGACACATAGCTCTGTGAGGGTATAGCAGCGCTGGACTGGAGACACATAGCTCTGTGAGGGAATAGCAGGACTGGAGACACATAGCTCTGTGAGGGCATAGCAGGACTGGACTGGGGACACATAGCTCTGTGAGGGCATAGCAAACTGGACTGGAGACACATAGCTCTGTGAGGGCATAGCAGAGCTGGACTGGAGACACATAGCTCTGGAGGGCATAGCAGGACTGGACTGGAGACACATAGCTCTGAGAGGGCATAGCAGGATTGGACTGGAGACACATAGCTCTGTGAGGGCATAGCAGGACTGGACTGGAAACACATAGCTCTGTGAGGGCATAGCAGGACTGGAGACACATAACTCTGTGAGGGCATAGCAGGACTGGAGACATATAACTCTGTGAGGGCATAGCAGGACTTGACTGGTGACACATAGCTCTGTGAGGGCATAGCAGGACTGGACTGCAGACACATAGCTCTGTGAGGGCATAGCAGGACTGGACTGGAGACACATAGCTCTGTGAGAGCATAGCAGGACTGGAGACATAACTCTGTGAGGGCATAGCAGGACTGGGAACACATAGCTCTGTGAGGGCATAGCAGGACTGGAGACACATAGCTCTGTGAGGGCATAGCAGGACTGGACTGGAGACACATAGCTCTGTGAGGGCATAGCAGGACTGGATTGGAGACACATAGCTCTGTGAAGGCATAGCAGGACTGGACTGGAGACACAGCTCTGTGAGGGCATAGCAGGACTGGAGTGGAGACACATAGCTCTGTGAGGGTATAGCAGCACTGGACAGGAGACACAGTTCTGTGAAGGCATAGCAGGACTGGACTGGAGACACATAGCTCTGTGAGGGCATAGCAGGACTGGACTGGAGACACATAGCTCTGTGACGGTATAGCAGCACTGGACTGGAGACACATAGCTCTGTGACGGTATAGCAGCACTGGACAGGAGACACATAGTTCTGTGAAGGCATAGCAGGACTGGACTGGAGACACATAGCTTTGTGAGGGCATAGCAGGACTGGACTGGAGACACATAGCTCTGTGAGGGCATAGCAGCGCTAGACTGGAGACACATAGCTCTGTGATGGCATAGCAGGACTGGAGACACATAGCTCTGTGAGGGCATTGCAGGACTGGACTGGAGATACATAGCTCTGTGAGGGCATAGCAGGACTGGACTGGAGACACATAGCTCTGTGATGGCATAGCAGGACTGGAGACACATAGCTCTGTGAGGGCATAGCAGGACTGGACTGGAGACACATAGCTCTGTGAGGGCATAGCAGGACTGGACTGGAGACACATAGCTCTGTGAGGGCATAGCAGGACTGGAGACACATAGCTCTGGGAGGGCATAGCAGGACTGGAGACACATAGCTCTGTGAGGGCATAGCAGGACTGGGCTGGAGACACATAGCTCTGTGAGGGTATAGCAGCACTGGACAGGAGACACATAGTTCTGTGAAGGCATAGCAGGACTGGACTGGAGACACATAGCTCTGTGAGGGCATGGCAGGACTGGAGACACATAGCTCTGTGAGGGCATAGCAGGACTGGACTGGAGACACATAGCTCTGTAAGGGCATAGCAGGACTGGATTGGAGACACATAGCTCTGTGAGGGCATAGCAGAACTGGACTGGAGACACATAGCTCTCTGGGGGCATAGCAGTACTGGACTGGAGACACATAGCTCTGTGAGGGCCTAGCAGGACTGGACTGGAGACACATAGCTCTGTGAGGGCATAGCAGGACTGGACTGGAGACACATAGCTCTGTGAGGGTATAGCAGCACTGGACAGGAGACACATAGTTCTGTGAAGGCATAGCAGGACTGGACTGGAGACACATAGCTCTGTGAGGGCATAGCAGGACTGGACTGGAGACACATAGCTCTGTGAGGGCATAGCAGGACTGGACTGAAGACACATAGCTCTGTGAGGGCATAGCAGGACTGGAGACACATAGCTCTGTAAGGGCATAGCAGGACTGGACTGGAGACACATAGCTCTGTGAGGGCATAGCAGAACTGGACTGGAGACACATAGCTCTCTGGGGGCATAGCAGTACTGGACTGGAGACACATAGCTCTGTGAGGGCCTAGCAGGACTGGACTGGAGACACATAGCTCTGTGAGGGCATAGCAGGACTGGACTGGAGACACATAGCTCTGTGAGGGTATAGCAGCACTGGACAGGAGACACATAGTTCTGTGAAGGCATAGCAGGACTGGACTGGAGACACATAGCTCTGTGAGGGCATTGCAGGACTGGACTGGAGACACATAGCTCTAGGAGGGCATAGCAGGACTGGAGACACATAGCTCTGTGAGGGCATAGCAGGACTGGACTGGAGACACATAGCTCTGTGAGGGCATAGCAGGACTGGACTGGAGACACATAGCTCTGTGAGGGCATAGCAGGACTGGACTGAAGACACATAGCTCTGTGAGGGCATAGCAGGACTGGAGACACATAGCTCTGTGAGGGCATAGCAGGACTGGACTGAAGACACATAGCTCTGTGAGGGCATAGCAGGACTGGAGACACATAGCTCTGTGAGGGCATAGCAGGACTGGACTGGAGACACATAGCTCTGTGAGGGCATAGCAGGACTGGACTGAAGACACATAGCTCTGTGAGGGCATAGCAGGACTGGAGACACATAGCTCTGTGAGGGCATAGCAGGACTGGCTTACCTCATCCACGAAGAGGAGCAGGTTTTCTTCTGCAGCCAGTCGGATCACATCCTCAATACATTCTCTGCTCTCCACCCGTCCTGTGAACACATTTCGTTATATCCTACTAATCTGATACTTACTAACAAGAAACACATCAAACTATTCACTAACGTGCGAACTGTGTGCTTTAAGGTCAAATTAGTCAAATTGCTAAAATGTCAGCTCGGTTTTCAATTTAGGCTATTTTGACCCAAAAGAAGAAACTCGCAATGAATTCTGATAATTCATTCTTTAGTGAATCACCTGATAAGTAATGTCAAGAATTGTGTGGAAACAAAGTTGTGGTGATTGGAATGAAGGGACGTTCTGATACTTTGTGTCTAAGTGATAGATAGAAACTGAAGGTCCCAAACTGAGCTTTGTGAAGGTAACGTAGTTACTGTTTGTGGATTGAATTAAGAAAATAATCCAAGTTCCATTCCACCTATCAGGAGCCATATCTTTCTACCAGCCTGCCACATTTATCATTCATTTGGCTTCATGAATGGACCTGGGACAGGTAGCAATGTATGAGCAAGGAGGGCCTTTATGGAAATAATGAAATGTCTCCAAGATGTCCAAGCGGTCTACAGGCTGGGTTTTGTGTATACTGATAGTATCTCAGCTTACTGAGTACTTCAACAAGATGTGTGTCTGGGGATAAACTACATATCCCATAAACCCCAGCTAGAGAAACATAGGATACAAATAAACATGGACCAGAATTAAAGGCTTCTGATTGGTGGAGTCTATTCCTGAAAAAGAGAACCCTTTCTGGGTTTCAATGGTCTATGTTGCAATATCTTGCTATTTAGCCCATTTTGGTAGTTTGAGAAGAAATTTCCCTAAAGAAGATATAAGAAAATTGTATTTATTAAACTGTGAATCGTGTAGATTTAAAGTTGCAGGATTGTAGAATTCTTTAGTTTAGCTATTTCTGACCCAAATGTTTCTAAATTCACAGTAATTCTCCTGGTTTATTAAAATAATTTTCTGGAATTCTGAGTAATTCTGTGCAGAATTTCCCAGCAGGATTAACAATAATGTGACCCTCAGTGGGGTCGGCCCCATTAACCATCCCTTGGCAAATAATTAAATGGGGGACGGACTGATATCCTGTATAGGGCCAGGGGGGTCTTAGTCACACTCTGCAGGAATTGTTTGTAAAGTAAATGCTTACATTCAGACTTACTAACAGAATTTGTGGAATTTATCCTGTAATGGTGTCAGTAAATGATATATATGTCTTGCTGTAATTACCACCTGCACAGGAATGCCGTTCCAGTGATTTACTACTCTTACTTTTTCCATTTTGCACATACAATTGTAAAAAGACCCTGTGCTATGTTACAGCACAGGCAGCCAGCCATTGGCTAGCAGGTATCTTCATGTTGAATTGCAAGCTCTGGGGATCAGAAAGCTCCCTTTCCAAGCAGTGCCAGTACATAAACCATGCAGTTAATACACATTAGTTATGGTACCAGTTGGGTTTCCTGGGTTCATGACACAGAGGACCTTCGGATTGCAATGCGTCCTGGCTTTGTAAAGAGATTGGCGAATATTGTCCACATTCAGAGACCATCCATTCTCTTCATCTAGGTTATATTCCACCTTCACTGCAGCAGACAGCATAATGGTGTCCACGTACACTGGGTACTGGGGCACTGAAAGCATGATACCAGTTCTTAATGGCTCGTCTTCATTTACCACCATGGTGAGCACGCTCTGTGAAGGGATAATAATTACACTGAGCGAGTCCAATTAATGTGCATTCGTCTCATCATTAACATTATGTACATTTATATTATATAAACCATAACCACTACATGCCATTTTAGTGGCTGCTAATAGGCTACATGTGCTGTCCACCAGTTCTAAGCCAAACATTTGTTAAACAGACACTCCAGGCATCCAGACCATTTAAGCCCATTAGAGTGGTCTGGGTGCCAACTCCCACTACCCTTAACCCTGCAAGTGTAATTATTGCAGTTTTCATAAGGCTGAACTTGATGGACACAAGTCTCTTTTCAGCTCTGTAACTATGTAACTATGTAATAAACTGCAATATTTACCTTGCAGCATTAAGTCCGTCTCTAGTGACTGTCTATCAGACAGCCACTAGAGGGACTTCCGTGTTCTTAGAACACGAAAAGTGTGTTATATGACGCTGGATATCCTCCGCTATGCAGAATCCCCTTAGGGAGGTCTAGTGTGCGCACGGCCATTGCCATTGAGAGTAGGTGGAGAGTTGGCAGAGCCTGACCAGCGCCGAGGGACATCGTCGCTGGACTCCAGTAAGTCACTTAAAGGGATTTACCTCCTTTAGCAACATGGGATGGGAGGTGGGAGGGAGAGGGGCACTACAGGGTCCCTTTAAGCATTGTAACAAAAACTGGGGGACCCTGACACTCAGCCTGTCAATGAAATCCAAATATGGATAAAACGCATATTGTTAATACAGAAGTTGCATGTTAGCAATAGGTAGAGCAGGAGGTGTTCAAGGATCCCCATGTTTGGTAAAACCGTTTGAAAAGAGTTTTACCCAAAACCGAGGGATGTTGCCAGAGGGCTAATGGTACCATATATACTAGAGCAGTCTGTAGTGGATACAGTGCTTAGACTATATTAAACATCTAGTTGGTATTTGGGTGGTTCCTAACATGTGACTCACCCTGTATATTAAACCTGCTATGTATTAATTAACAAGGCAGTCATGCCTGGATATAATTAATTATCAAGCTACAAAGGTCAGTAATTGGTGGAAATATTTAACTTTGGGCAAGGTAAGACATTGTGATTTAACTTGTTTTGAGCTAGGTGGCTTTTATATTTAAATTGCATAATGATTTGAGAGCTTTAACTCTTTTTTTCTCTTTATTCGAGATTAAAATAATGCATGTTACTAGGTACTCCCTAAACTCGGACACAGGATGGTGCAGCTGCAGGAGGATTCAAATTCTATATTTCCATTGATTTCTAGACACAAACTGTCAAACTGGGTAGTGTTTGGGATGATAGGAAGTATAATGTTTATTGCAGGAGCCTATTTGTAAATAATATATATATATATATATAAATATAAATGTAATATGTGATCCGGAACAGCCTCGTACCACAATCGCTGCCGTGGCTCCACTAGACACCACCACATTCTTTGGGTCACAGGGGATTCCGCCATCCCTTCTCTGGATGAAGTGCGCGATCCTTTGTGGCAGTGTTTCCCATGAATAAAACTCATTGTAACTTCCTGTAAAGACATTGAAACACAATCCAGTGATATAGGAAGGATTTTGGGATTAACCTTAATGAAGGTCTTTCAATTTATCTTTCCTTATTACTTACCAAGGTGTGATGGCTGATCTTTTATCTTTAATGGTTGATCAACACTTAGAAATCTGATATTACAAATGTTTTTACTACTGCTCCTTTACATTCTGCCCATTCTAATGTCTCCTTGGACATTACTCAAGCTTTCTTTAATGTCCACAAATCATATAAAAAGCAGATCAGTGCTTGGTGGGAGATCTCGTCTGGAGTCTTATTTCACACAAAACACGGTAACGAGAGGGCTCCGTACTCCCTCCAGCTTACAAAATCATAACTGAAAAGCATACTAGAATGAGGAATTAGATGCTCATTGAATTCTCTTTCGATTTGATGCGTTTTTCAAATTGAAAAAAAAAATATCAAAGGTGGTAATGAAAGCTTAGAAGGAGAATTGTGAGGAAGTTTAAAAATGATTCCTTTTATACATCTATCAATTCAAAATAAAATAAACATTTTGATAATTTTTGTAGGTCTATTAAGAAAAAGAAACACAAAATATTTTAAAGAAACTATCAAGACTTTCCAGATCTATCTTGAGAGCATTTTACTGCCTCCCAACGCTTCAGAAAAGCATTTTAAACCCCCACATCCCAGGATGTCCAGTTGTTTCTGGAAGCGTTCTTTGACTGAGAAATGCAGTGTCTTTGTTGACCTTACTCAAATTTATCCTCACCCACAAATATTTCACTTATGATGGAAAGATCTATTTATAAACAAAGGGCGCAGCTATGGGGACATGTTGTGCTCCTAATTATGCCAATTTGTATGAGGCCAAGTGGAAAGCAAAGTGGGTTTTTACCTCCCCATATTGGTCATGTGAAATTCTGGGTCAGATACATTGATGATATCCTCTTATTGTTTGATGAAAGTGTCGAGATGTACCAGACCTGGGTGGCTTTTCTTATGGTGTTAGCTTGACTTCTGTCATTGGGTCCAGTGAGAATGAATTTTTAAACTTTTAGATTATCAACTCTTCAGGGACAATTCATCTCCAAAATTTTATTTAAAGGAAGAGCCAACAACAATTTGGACTGGAGAAGTCTCCATCTGGAAACCTTGAAACAGGGTAATTCTTATGTCGTGTTTATTAGATCATTCCATAAATCAAATTTGTACCCTTATCTGGGATTACCATATTTTAGCATACCAATTATTCAGATATTTTACAAACACAGATCCCTCCCTAATTTGGTACCGTTAAATATGGTAATCCCATATAAGATTTTCAAATTCATAAATTAATGAAATTCTGCCAGCGCCAGATTTTTAATTCGTTTCATTCTTCCGATGTGACGTTCAGAGAGTCAGAATGTGGATGAATGGCTGAATGAGCTAATTTTTTGTCTGCATTCCAATTCTTCTGAAAACTAACGCCAAGGTTTAGTCAATTCCTTTTTCTCAGAGACAAACTGATGGTAGTAGGGAGCCACCTTGTAACAAAGTTTTAAAATGCAGTTTCAATGAAACCTTTTGGTGTGTTTTTTTTCCTTACTATTGCTGCTGTTTATTTAATCGAGAAGAGATTGTACCCAATATTATTTGTGAAGAAATCCCTCTTTTGTACAATATTTCTCCCCTATTTCATTCGGTAGATTTACCTACCGAACAAAGACCACCCCCTGGCTCATTAAACTTCAAAGACTGCTTCAATTGAACACTCTATCTGTGCGGCCAGCGTTCGTAATACCGAACGCCATGTGGCTGAGAAAACCGTGGCCATCTTTTTTCATGCGAACAAAGGCAGCGGGACTTGGTCGTCGAGTGTCTGGAACTAAAATCGCATACTCGACTTCCCGAACACCGGTCTCACACAGACGAATGCTGTAACACTAATTACTGAATTGCTAGAAGAGCGCTATTCAGTACTTTGGTGCATTCGACAGAGGGGAACAATCGCTGCTGAGAGCCAGGGGGATCCATTCGGTACTTTATTCCCTTTTACTAAAGTGACCGTCAAAACCCACCAAACTCATGGAACTGTTTTGGGCAGCCAGCCCACGGTGAGCCAGTCACAGAAGACTTCCACAGTTTTTGAGAACCCCTGAACCGATCTGGGTGAAATTTGAGTATGTTGGTCACCCAGATCGGGGCTATCAAGGGACATATTATTTTGGGGGATACCTCAAGTATAAAGGGGTGTTTCATATATTGGGGAAAAAATTGATTTTTCTGCCTGGAGATAATCAAGTTATTACTTTATCAGACTTGATTATCTCCAGGGTTAGGGGAGGGAATTGTGGGTGTGTGTTATGTTTTTACGGTACCTGATTGGTTAATCTTTGTCCCTCCCTGGGGGATGTCCCCTTGCATGGGGACTTGCATAAAAGCCTGTGTGCACTCATTAAAAGTTAGTTCAGTTGTACCCTTCTTCTTGACTTCGGCTGATGTTTGGGGATTCGTGTGTTTCACTAAGGGAATTATCTTATGAAGCTACTGGGATTACTATACGATTCGTCTACTTTATCTACCAAACGGAGAGCTATAATCACTGATGCTCTGGCGATTCGGGAGGAAATTAACCGAATGAGGTTTAAATACACTTGGTTTCCTTACATTATTAATGAATCATAGTTCATAAGTTACTTTCAGGTTTACACAACTAACAAATTATATAACAATTTATTAATAAGTCTAACAAATAAGTTTATTTTTAAAGGAAATAAAAGTTATATTTTAATTGCTAGGCTATTCACTTTTTAAATTTGTTGTCCTGTTTTATGAAGGGCTTTAACCTCTCTGTAAGTTAGCCCATGGCCACCGGTAGTGGGACAGGCAGAATAAAATTTGAGACATATGTTTAACATCTAAATGCTAAATGCTGCGTGTCTCATCCTTATCACTTACTTTGAGAGATCTGCGAATCTCGAAAGTTTTTTTTTTTACACTGTTTCTCTACACTCTGAATGTAACGCTGCATTTTATTGTTTCCTTGATATATGAAAACCTTCAATAAAAGGCTATTTACCAAAAAAAAAAGATAGCTCATGGCGTTAGACCCCACACCATGATTTTTTAAACAATGGAGTGTAATGTGAAATATTATGTGATTAGCTGGGACTCCTCGGGCCCAGCTCACAGATCGCTTCCTTTACCCACTGATCCATTTTCTAACGTCTGCAGGATAGACCGAGCTTTCCGCTTGGTATCTTCAGGGAATTCGCTATTGTCCAGGAGAGCTGGGTACATACACAGGGCCATCACCTAGAGAGGGTGAAATGTGTGTAAATGTTCATGGATGATGAGAACCAAAAACCAACAAAATGCCATCCAACGCTCTCCATCAAACACCCTCCACCAGACACCCTAAATAAGACACCCTCCAAGATATATATTTTCACCCCCCAAACAGATATTTTCTATCAGACACCATCAGAGACCTTCCATCAGACACTTGACATCAGATGCCCTAAATCAGACATCCTCCAAGAGATATTCTCCATCAGAGACCTTCCATCAGACTTCTCCATCAGACACCCTCCATATATATCCACTCTCACATTACCCAGTCCATTAACGTATATATTTAGCTTGAGAGTCAGCTCCGTTTTGTGATATTTTTCTCAATGAAATCATGATGGCTATATTAGCTGTGATCCCCCCAACCTGTCCATTATCCTTGGCAATGTGTCATAAAGGGGTTCAATACCTGTCTCAGGAAGGTACAGGGCTTTTGGCCCATTGCATGAAGGTCCCCAAAGTGACAAAAGATTATCTCCTTAAAGGGTTTCTGCTTCCCCTAAAGAAACAAGAGATTATTTAAGTTATTTTGGATCATCTACGATTTATTACATACCTCAGTGCATACTGAGATTTCATTTGATGTTTTGGTTTGGTAGAAAAATTACAGAAATTATTGAAGAGATGTGCAGAGAGAACCACAATCCCCTTTTTTTTAGCACCCTGGGACCAATGAACATCGGTGGGGGATGGAGGTGCCTTTCATAATAATCCAGTAATAGCCTAGCATCCTGTAATACTCCGTCCCCCAGACTCCCATCCAGTAATAGCCTGGCATCCTGTAATACTCCGTCCCCCAGACTCCCATCCAGTAATAGCCTGGCATCCTGTAATACTCCATCCCCCAGACTCCCATCCAGTAATAGCCTAGCATCCTGTAATACTCCATCCCCAGACTCCCATCCAGTAATAGCCTAGCACCCTGTAATACTCCGTCCCCCATACTCCCATCCAGTAATAGCCTAGCATCCTGTAATACTCCGTCCCCCATACTCCCATCCAGTAATAGCCTAGCATCCTGTAATACTCCATCCCCCAGACTCCCATCCAGTAATAGCCTAGCATCCTGTAATACTCCATCCCCAGACTCCCATCCAGTAATAGCCTAGCGTCCTGTAATACTCCATCCCCAAGACTCCCATCCAGTAATAGCCTAGCACCCTGTAATACTCCATCCCCAGACTCCCATCCAGTAATAGCCTAGCACCCTGTAATACTCCATCCCCAGACTCCCATCCAGTAATAGCCTAGCATCCTGTAATACTCCATCCCCAGTACTCCCATCCAGTAATAGCCTAGCACCCTGTAATACTCCATCCCCAGACTCCCATCCAGTAATAGCCTAGCACCCTGTAATACTCCATCCCCCAGACTCCCATCCAGTAATAGCCGAACACCCTGTAATACTCCATCCCCCATACTCCCATCCAGTAATAGCCTAGCACCCTGTAATACTCCATCCCCCAGACTCCCATCCAGTAATAGCCTAGCATCCTGTAATACTCCATCCCCAGACTCCCATCCAGTAATAGCCTAGCACCCTGTAATACTCCATCCCCCATACTCCCATCCAGTAATAGCCTAGCACCCTGTAATACTCCATCCCCAGACTCCCATCCAGTAATAGCCTAGCGTCCTGTAATACTCCATCCCCCAGACTCCCATCCAGTAATAGCCTAGCACCCTGTAATACTCCATCCCCCAGACTCCCATCCAGTAATAGCCTAGCACCCTGTAATACTCCATCCCCCATACTCCCATCCAGTAATAGCCTAGCACCCTGTAATACTCCATCCCCCAGACTCCCATCCCTAGCGTCCTGTAATAGACTCCCATCCAGTAATAGCCTAGCACCCTGTAATACTCCATCCCCCAGACTCCCATCCAGTAATAGCCTAGCACCCTGTAATACTCCATCCCCCAGACTCCCATCCAGTAATAGCCTAGCATCCTGTAATATAGACTCCCATCCAGTAATAGCCTAGCCCTGTAATACTCCATCCCCCAGACTCCCATACAGTAATAGCCTAGCGTCCTGTAATACTCCATCCCCAAGACTCCCATACAGTAATAGCCTAGCATCCTGTAATACTCCATCCCCAGACTCCCATCCAGTAATAGCCTAGCATCCTGTAATACTCCATCCCCCAGACTCCCATCCCAGTGTAGCCCTAGCACTTCCCTGTAATACTCCATCCCCAGACTCCATCCAGTAATAGCCCTATAGATGCACCATAATACTCAATCCCAGACTCCCATACAGTAATAGCCCACAGCATCCTGTGTCTCATCCCCATGCATCAGTATTAGCCCTAGCACCCTGTAATGCTCCATCCCCAGACTCCCATCCAGTAATAGCCTGGCACCCACCAATACTCCATCCCCAGACTCCCCATCCATTGACAGCCCTGGCAGCACCACATATTACTCCATCCCCCATACTCCCCATCCAGTAATAGCCCTAGCATCCTGTATTACTCCAAGCCACACCCCAGACTCCATCCAGTAATAGCCCTAGCAGCACCCTGTAATACTCCATCCCCATACTCCCATCGAAGCCAGCCACAGCACCCTGTAATACTCCATCCCCCATACTCCCATCCAGTAATAGCCTAACACCCTGTAATACTCCATCCCCCAGACTCCCATACAGTAATAGCCTAGCGTCCTGTAATACTCCATCCCCAGACTCCCATCCAGTAATAGCCTAGCACCCTGTAATACTCCATCCCCCAGACTCCCATCCAGTAATAGCCTAGCACCCTGTAATATTCCATCCCCCAGACTCCCATCCAGTAATAGCCTAGCACCCTGTAATATTCCATCCCCCAGACTCCCATCCAGTAATAGCCTAGCACCCTGTAATACTCCATTCCCCAGACTCCCATGCAGTAATAGCCTAGCGTCCTGTAATACTCCATCCCCCAGACTCCCATCCAGTAATAGCCTAGCACCCTCTAATACTCCATCCCCCAGACTCCCATCCAGTAATAGCCTAGCGTCCTGTAATACTCCATCCCCAAGACTCCCATCCAGTAATAGCCTAGCACCCTGTAATACTCCATCCCCAGACTCCCATCCAGTAATAGCCTAGCACCCTGTAATACTCCATCCCCCAGATTCCCATCCAGTAATAGCCTAGCACCCTGTAATACTCCATCCCCAGACTCCCATCCAGTAATAGCCTAGCACCCTGTAATATTCCATCCCCCAGACTCCCATACAGTAATAGCCTAGCACCCTGTAATACTCCATCCCCCATACTCCCATCCAGTAATAGCCTAGCATCCTGTAATACTCCATTCCCCATACTCCCATACAGTAATAGCCTAGCATCCTGTAATACTCCATCCCCCAGACTCCCATCCAGTAATAGCCTAGCACCCTGTAATACTCCATCCCCAGACTCCCATCCAGTAATAGCCTAGCATCCTGTAATACTCCATCCCCCATACTCCCATCCAGTAATAGCCTAACACCCTGTAATACTCCATCTCCCAGACTCCCATCCAGTAATAGCCTAGCACCCTGTAATACTCCATCCCCCAGACTCCCATCCAGTAATAGCCTAGCATCCTGTAATACTCCATCCCCAAGACTCCCATCCAGTAATAGCCTAGCGTCCTGTAATATTCCATCCCCAAGACTCCCATCCAGTAATAGCCTAGCACCCTGTAATACTCCATCCCCAGACTCCCATCCAGTAATAGCCTAGCACCCTGTAATACTCCATCCCCAGACTCCCATCCAGTAATAGCCTAGCACCCTGTAATACTCCATCCCCAGACTCCCATCCAGTAATAGCCTAGCACCCTGTAATATTCCATCCCCCAGACTCCCATGCAGTAATAGCCTAGGGTCCTGTTATACTCCATTCCCCAGACTTCCATCCAGTAATAGCCTAGCATCCTGTAATACTCCATCCCCAGACTCCCATCCAGTAATAGCCTAGCACCCTGTAATACTCCATCCCCAGACTCCCATCCAGTAATAGCCTAGCATCCTGTAATATTCCATCCCCAGACTCCCATCCAGTAATAGCCTAGCATCCTGTAATATTCCATCCCCCAGACTCCCATGCAGTAATAGCCTAGGGTCCTGTTATACTCCATTCCCCAGACTCCCATCCAGTAATAGCCTAGCACCCTGTAATACTCCATCTCCCAGACCCCCATCCAGTAATAGCCTAGCACCCTGTAATACTCCATCCCCCAGACTCCCATCCAGTAATAGCCTAGCACCCTGTAATACTCCATCCCCAGACTCCCATCTATTAATAGCCTAGCATCATGTAATATTCTAGCATCCCCACCTAGCATCCCCAGACTCCCATCCCATACGCATCGGCTGAGCACCCAACACATAAAGTCGCTCCAGCAAGCAGTGCCGGAACTACAGCACCAATACCAGCTCCATAAGCGCCGGTTCACTGCCAGGGAGACTCGTGGCGCCAAAATAATCTAAAGGTGCGTGGGTTATCGGAGAAGATCCCTGACGCAGAACTGCCACACTTTGCGAGGTGCTTGGTGGGGAGCTTACTACAACCCCGGCAGGCTAAAGCAGTGGTGATTGAAGGACAATTCCACATACCCTAACCCCTCAAAGCCCCGAACACAGCCTCCAGGGACCTGGTGGTCCGCTTCAGAAACTATAATACTCCATCCCACAGACTTCCATCCTAAACTGGGCTCTATTGTTAAAAACTCAGTTCTGATACCTGTTTCCAGTAATTTATTATTGATGTGGTCTCTTTTGTATAAGAGTTTAAGAATTGTCCCCCCTCTGCTATATCCTCTCTTACCTCCTCTATTTCCCTTTTGATGTCCATCGCTCGTTGTGTCACCGATCCTAAGATGGGGACGTTGATATTTGTGATGGATGTACTCAGGGTCTCCAAGCACAAAACTCTGTGTGGAGAGGCCATTTTGACCTCAACTGTAAAGAAAAAAAATGTTATTCTTAATAATTCCCAGTTCCCTTGTGTTCTCTGTGCCTTTTTAATGCCCAGGGAGAAGAGGTAACAAGACTGAAAACATCAACGTAATAACATGTTTACTGGTACAAATTAACACCATCACCACTATTGGTGTAATTTAACTCACTAATGCAGATATTTGGAATGCAGGTCATTCTGTACCTCATACTCTTCCCAAGTCTATTCAATGGCCTGTATCTAGCGTGGGCCTGACTGCAATGTGCTATGTGGCTCAATGTCTTCTGTTTACACCTTAAGCTGTCGATGGCCTAGAATCAGCCTTTTAGAACTGGTGTCTACCTCTTCTCTAGGGAGCTTGATTCAAGGAGAATTTACTAGATAGTTACCTTAAAAGACAATGTCCCGGCGGAGCATGGCTGCTGTAGCGACTGGTCGCATGATCCTAGAGCTACCAACAATAACGACTAAAATTGGGCAATACTGCCTATATAACTGCACTCAGTGTTTTGCAGGACCCCCCTTGTCATTAAGACTAAGATAGGATGCAAAACCAAGAAGCCCAGACCAGACAAGCCCAGTCTGGGGCTAAAAATCGGCGATCTGCAACTGGGCCCAAGAGTCTCCGGAGGCTACTCATTTGGAGCCGAAGAGGAGTACCCACCAGCACCAGAGAGCTGGGAGAGGGAGAGCAGAGGGCCCAGACACATCTATACAGACAAAATCAATACTACAGGAGATGCTGGCCAAACTCCAGAGAAATATCTCGGCGGACATAGCAACAATCCCCGGGGACCTGGGGGGCCTCATGTGCCGCATCAGCAGAGCACCCAACACATAAAGTCGCTCCAGCAAGCAGTGCCGGAACTACAGCACCAAAACCAGCTCCATGAGAAAGACTCCCGGCGCCAAAATAATCTAAAGGTGCGTGGGTTATCGGAGGAGATCCCTGACACAGAACTGCCACACTTTGTGAGGTACAACCCCGGCAGGCTAAAGCAGTGGTGACTGAAGGACAATTCCACATACCCTAACCCCTCAAAGCCCCGAACACAGCTTCCAGGGACCTGGTGGTCCGCTTCAGAAACGGGTCAGACAAAACAGCGGTCCTGACTGCTTTAAGAGGAAACTCACCTTACCATTACGAGAATATGCCCCTCCCCTTCTACGCTGACCTCTCGTGGGTACCTTAGCTTGGAGGAACTCGTTCAAGTCATTCACCACGCTCCTGCAACGGAACAATATCCGCTATGGAATGGAAACTCTTTCGCACATTAGTAGTGCATCAGGGGGACACTCCGCATGCTATTCACAACGTTCAAGAGGCTGCCGGACTGATACCAAAACCCCCAGATGCACTCACCCGAGACAAACAGTCTACGACACCGCAACACTCTCACTTCTGGGACCCTGCGAGCATCCCCCCTTTTGTCCCACGACAGCGCACCTCTGATTCGTATGCAGCTGCCACCACTTGAAAATGAGCAACTTATTACTGGGGATCTCCTGGACGCTAACATGTTTTGATTTGTGTCCCCTTTATTTTAACGTTTTAACAAACCCTCACTGTTGAATGTTTACTTACTTAGTGTTGCACACCACTGACCCCGAGCAGCAGTAATAATGTCCAATCACATACAGACAGGTCCTATCAGTCACATACAAAACTTTGGGTGGGGCAGTTGAGATGCACTATTGGCTCCAACAGCACCACTGTCTTTATACTCACAGGAGCACGCACTTAGCCCGATACTAGACAAGGAAGAAGGCCCCTAGACAGAACATATCCCTCTAGAGACCTAGTCCAATATATTGGGATCCACTAAACTCGGAGGGACCGGTCCGGAGGTAGGGTCACTCCCTAGGAAGTACTCCACACTTCCCTGTTAGCAATCTCTCCAGCAACATAACATTACCTATCAGCTTAGCAGATCTGAAGAACACAACCCAACAGGCGGTGCTTCCTTGTCTGAAAGTGTTACACTACAAAACCCCTACCCCTTAGCTAGATAAAAAGGACGATTCAAAGGCTTTTATCACTCAAACAAGAGATTTTATTAGATACCTGGGTAGCCTGGACCCCGAGGAGGGCAGGCTGACCCTCACACTGCATTTATGTTCTACCTAGGTTATTTTTATCATTTTATCGGTATCCTTCTTTTATCCTTGCTTACTGTACAGCTTGCATTGTTAGGAATATATAGTTTTCTTTTAGGAAGCTGCAATAGTATTAACCTGGACATTGGGACTGGGCTAGTGTACAGACCAGAAGATGAGCCAAAGCAATCCATATCCTTTCTCCATAACCAAGTGTAATAGATGCCCTGTTTGTTGGATTTATAATTTAGTTGCTGCTCTGAACTAATTATTACAATACCCTTCACCTAAACCGTCATACGAATTCAAACAAATAAACTGTACTCAATGGGTTTGTTTACCGAACGTTTTGCCGAACGTTCGACCCCCCAAGCCAGTCGTGTGCCGTTAATTGACTTATTTGACTCTGTGCCAAACCACAACTTTAACATTCTTAGTGGGTGGCCGTCGATTCGTATGCACGAACACGTGGTGGCGGCCATCTTGTTTTGTCAAATGCGGCCAGCGGGATTTGGTCGTCGAGTCTGGAACTAATTTCGGACACTCGATCTCCCGAACACCACTGAGACTTCCAGGACCACTTATATTCATGATAATCCATCCGAAGAAGGTGGCATTCGGTAGAAACTATATACAATAGAAGCGGCACACGACCATCAAACGCACAAACGATTATGTGAACTGTTTGTTCGACATTTCATGGTACTATTCTGGGCAGGAGCATCGTGTGCGGCCGGGCAGAAATGGGACTTCCAGCTAACTCCCGAACACCTTAACCGATTTGCATGATTTTTGATATGTTGTTCCCCTAACTATCAGAAAATATATGTTTTATGGGGTTTGGATGTAATGTTTGGGGTATTTCTGAAAATGGGAAACATTTTCATTTTTTCGTTTGGAGATAATTGATTTGATACAGTAATTAACTCAATAATCTCCTAAGCAGAGGGGAGGAATTGTGTGTAATGAATGGGAGTGTTTCATAATGCGATTTACTGTTTATTAGTTGTACACTGTTTTTCCCTGTGCCCAACTAGGTCCACCTGGGTGGTAACCTTTTGGGAATAATTGCATAAAAGGCCAGCCTGGCCCCATTAAAAATTAGTTCTGCTCAACCCTCAACACATAGCTTTGTCTCGTGCTTGTAGGGAACCTGCTTCACAGCTTATCACTAGCTCTTGTAAGAGCTCTACTATACCTTCAACTACTGGTTCGGCTGAGATGACAACTGGAGAATCTGCAGCACAGCTCCTCTAAAGGGAAAAGGACGTCTCGAAAGGCATACACCCTGTAACGGAGCTTCCTGTACCCTGGATGGGTACCTCCGCTGACGGATACTCCTAGTGCTCACCGAGAACTCCAAGCACTCCACCAGACACCATGAGCACCGCAGTCCCCACATCAATCGTTACAGCTTGGCTGGGAACTCGCCGTCCTCTACCCACCCTGGACCTACAACAAGGCTCCAGGTTCCAGTGGGTGAACCTCTCCTCCAAGAGAGAGTAGCAGGAACAAGCTCTTAAAAGAGCTTAGTGATTATTATCCCTGGGGAGTATAGTGATATAGCAATCCCCAGGGTAGATGCAGCCTTTCCTCCCCACACATGAGGCAAGGGTAAAACAGGAACTCAGCAGATCTGAGGGTTTATTGAACAGCTTGGTCTTTTATACAGATTTCCCCACAAGGTTACCACCCAGGTGGACCTTGTGGGGCACAGGGACACAGGAACAACAAGCCAATAAAAACATAGTTTTACATTCAGTCACTCCTGTTACAAAAGCTCTACAGACTGTTACAATATTGCTCTTTTCTGTTTCCACACAGAACCTTATTTCAGTATTTTAACCATGTAGCCTAATTCCCGGACCGATTTCCCGTTACCCATTCGTGTATACGAACAACGGACCACCCGGCCCCTGGCGTGTGCCGCCACTTAACCCTTGTCACCTTTCCAATACCCGAACAGCGACCACCCTACGAGCGTAGCGTGTCTCTAATTAATCGCCAAGAGAGCTGCGGTCTGCTGTTAACCACAGCCTAATTGACGGTCCCAGGGCATTCCCGTTCGTGCACTATTTCCCGAACTAAAACTACCGAAAGACTCACGAACGAGGACCACCTACATCCTGGCGTATGGCCCCAATTAGAATGTTGGTTTTGCGGTTAACCGAAGGTTAAGTACCCCTCCCCGGCGGTCTACGTTCGTTTCCTGAATGGTTGGGACAACCATCAGGAGATCAGGGATTCGTGTAAACCCCTGGCCGCTATTCGTTCCATGAGTTTGGGGTCGAGGTCCCGCTGCCCATTAACTTACCTGAAAACATGGCCGCCGTCTCAGGTTCGGGACAAAAGACATGAACAGACTTTATATTGATGGAACTAACCATACCGTTCGTGAGTTCTGAGTGCTATTCAACTATCTGCTGAGCTCAGATCTGGGCTACATAATGAACGGTAGAATGCACGAATTGTCTATTAAAATGCTAAAGTTATGTATTTTATACTGTTTTGTATGTCGCAAGAAAACGTGGGATTTGGGGCGCTTGGAGATAATTACATTGTCATAAGCGTTGGATTCATTATCTCCAAGCTGGGCGGTAACAATTTCAAAAGATACATTGTGTTTCTATTGGTTAACTGCTTGCATTGTCCCTGTATACCATCAGGTCCAGAGGGGACCTGAGATTTCGCATAAATAGTGATACCTGTGTGCCATTAAAGCCAGTTCTTTCTTGACCCTCAAATCGCAGCCTCGACTCGTTTTGTGGGTAAAAGGTTATCCTAGCTGTACCATAGCTAGTGGGATTATCCTACATTTACAGGATTCTGTGGTATACTGACTGGATCGGCTCTTCTCTCTCTCTACATCGGGGAACCAGACTATCCAAGCGGTCCAGCTTCCAGCTAGCCTGGAGGTAACTGTAACAACTCCCATACAGTGTACACAATCCCTCCCCTCTGCCTGTGATATAATTAACAAAGACAATGGACTAACTCAATTAACTCTAAGCAGAAAAAACATAATTTTTTACAAAC